GCTCTGGGTTTTCATAGGTTTCTGTCAACGAACAAGTTTACGACGCAGTGACACACCCAGCAGACTCTTAGCTAGCACAAAGGGGTCTCAATTTATCTAAGGCAGGAGTCCCCAACCTTCTGAGCCTGCAGGCACATCTGGAATTCTGACACAGCATGGCAGGCACAGCAACAAAATGGCTGCCAGGGGAGGTGGAGCCAGCCACAAAATGGCTGCCACGGCTTAACTTTCCAAAAACCATATTCCATCAACAATTAATCGCATAGTTTAAAAATACATTTCCCCCCCACTTCAGGTGGGTAGCCGTGTTGGTCTTAAGCAGCAGAACAAAGTTTGAGTCCAGTGGCACCTTTGAGAGAAAAGAAGTTTTATTCAAAGTGTAAGCTTTCGAAGAAGTGTGCTTTGCACACGAAAGCTTACACTTTGAATGAAACTTTGTTGGCCTTAAAGGTGCCACTGGACTCAAAACTTCATTCTGTTTTTCCCCCCACTTATTTATTTATCTATTTTTTAAATTTATATCCCACACCTCCCCACTGAGGTAATAGTCTGAATCTCAGTCAAAGAAAGATGTCTCTTTAAGAGGAAGGATGTCATGAGCTCCTTCACTGAGACAATCTGAGGAAATATTTCATTTGTGTATGAGAAGAAATAACATCCTCCCCCTCCTCCTCACAACTTAGGCTGAGGGTGTGACTGGGCCCAGCATCACATAGTGTGTTTTGTGACTAAACGGCGATTTGGACTCTGTTCTCCTCAGTCTTAGATCAACACTCTAACAACTACGCCACTGACATACTGGATACTCCGCACAAACCTCCAAGTGCATCTCAGAATCCACAGTAAATAATGGCTTCTCAGATACCCTGACCTGAAAATATGGCGGTTGAAGTAGGTTCCGGGACAGCAGAATCGCCTCACTTTCCATATTTGGGGAACCAGCTTTATCTCCCTCCCATCCCCCGAGTACAGATGCACGGAGACCAAAAAAATCCACACCAACAAATGGCTATTTCCATCGCCTCCATTTCCCTTTCTCTAAAACTCCTCGTCCCCAGGATACCAAAGTCAGCTTAACTTCCAGGATTTAAGCCCCAGGCCTCTTCCTCCACCCCACCCCCCAACACACAAGGCTAAAGACAGAAATATTCCCATCCCCATTTCTTTTCGCTAAAGCTGCAAGTCCCAGGATACCAAAATCACCTTAACGTCTAATACGTTGTCTGTTTCGATGACCCACAGATTAAGAGCAGGGGCTTTAGGCAGAACTTCCAAAGATCTCAAGGAACAAATAAGGCCATGGAGGGACAAGTGGAGAGGATGAGCGCACAGCATTAGCTGGCAGAACAGTGGCTGCGGTCACACGTAACAGAAGCCACACAAGTGAGACGGAAAACAGCCGGAGTTTCCGGGCGCGATCTCACCAGCACATCTGGGAAGCGTAGCACTCCCGTGGCTCAACCGAGGCTTCCAGCCGAAACTGCGTGGCAAAAAACTAGTACCTTGGAGATACTAGTTTCCGGAAACTGCGGGGCAAGGGCGGGCGTCTGATCGCGGTCCCCTCGCCTCCCCACAACAGACACCCTGTGAGGTAGGTGGGGCAGAGAGAGCTCTGAGAGAACTGCTTATGACAGAAGAGCTCTGAAAGAACTTATGACTGACCCAAGGTCACACCAGCAGCTGCATGTGGACGAGCGGGGGATCAAACCCAGTTCTCCCAGATTAGAGTCCGTGCTCTTAACTACTACACCAAACTGGGTTTTGTGTGCATACACACTTCTTCACAGAAAGCTTATACCCAGAATAAAATTTTGTGGGCCTTAAAGGTGCCATTGGACTCAAACCTTGTTCTGTTGCTTCAGGCCAACATGGCCGACCACCTGAATCTGACTTTAGGGTGAGTTCAGGATGAGAATTTATGGATTGCCTGGCTCTGGGTGAGTTAAGGGTGTGTGTGACAAAAGGAGGCTTCCCCCATGCCTGGGGCAGGCTGGTAGGCTAGGAGGCTTACAGGCAAGGTCTGTAGAAAAGAACAAGAGTCCAGTAGCACCTTAAAGACTAACAGAATAACGAAAGCTCGTACCCTGCCACAGATTTTGTTAGTCCTTAAGGTGCTACTCTCCTGCCAACATAGCAGTTCGAAAGCAAGAAATTGCAAGTAGATAAATAGGTACCACTTCGGTGGGAAGGTAACAGCGTTCCGTGCGCCTTGGTGTTTAGTCATGCCGGCCACATGACCACGGAAACGTCTTCGGACAGCGCTGGCTCTTCGGCTTTGAAACGGAGATGAGCACCGCAACCCCAGAGTCGGACTCGACTGGCTTTCGAGCAAGGGAACCTTTACCTTTACCTAAGGTGCTACTGGACTCTTGCTCTTTTCTACCCCAGTTGTTTTTGCCCATTTGGAGGCTGGCACCTGCAGAAAGACCCTGCTCCCGTGAGCACAGCTGTCGTGGCAGAGCCCAGGGGGAGAGGAGGTCTCGTAGACATGACGGTCCAAGGCCATGAAGGTCTTTGTACGTGGCAGCTAGCACCTTTGGGGTGCACTGGTGGAAATCGGTGCAATCTTATGAGCAATGCTCCCTCTAAGCTGTGGAGTCTTGTGAGCAAAAACTCTACTTTGTGAGCTACTGGCATTAAAGTTGTGAGCGGGCGATTCGGCTACTGCAAAAAATTAGTTTGCTCTGGAGCCATCCTTCCTGAGCGAAGACAAAAATCTGTGAGCTGGAAGCTAAAAAACTGTGAGATAGCTCACACTAACTCAGCTTAGGGGGAACACTGCTTATGACTACCAGCTCCTTCTCTTTTTTACGACATAAGCACTGCTCCAAAGATGTACAGCCGCCAGGGCCCCCCCCATTTTCAACTTACCGTTAACAAAATCCGTTCCTTCTGTAACATAATCCAGCAGCTGTTCAAAAATAGCTGTAATCTTCTTCTTTGCCAGCACAAAGTGTTTCAGAGGGGAGGGATTAGTGTCTGCCATTGTGGAACTGGGGGAAAAAAAAGGAAATGTGAGAGAAGTTAGCTGGAACAGAAACCGAAATTTAGCTCCCCATGTGAGCAGGTCAGAACAGAAACTGAGGCAGTATCATCAGCTTGACTAAGAAACCTGCACTGCTTCTGCCTTTCCCTTACAATGGGAGGAAGTAGAACTGGGCAGAATCCAGGCCACAGAGAGCAGAGGTTCCAGATGAAGCCATCCTGCTCTGTGCATGGCGCACGTGGATCTGATCCCATCTCCCTGTGGCTAGGGAGAACATTGATAGCAGGGAAAACGACTGGTGGGACTCCACACCCTGGAGAAAGCTATTCCAAAGTTGTCAGCTACAGAGGGCAGTTCCCATAGCAGCTGAGAGGTCACTGGGAGAGCTCGACAGACATCTACAAATATATTTTGTGAATTGAAGGGGCTCTTCTGGTAAACATAGTCTCAGTTCTTTCTTGTTCTCCATTGCCTCGCTTATGGTGTGTGTGTGTGGGGGGGGAGGAATTCACCCAATTAAACAAACCTATCAACAACCTCAGATATGCAGACGATACCACTCTAATGGCAGAAAGTGAAGAGGACCTTAAGAGCCTCTTACTCAGAGTAAAAGAGGAGAGCGCAAAAGTGGACTTGAAGCTCAACATCAAAAAAACTAAGATCATGGCATCCGGCCCCATGACTCCTTGGCAAATAGAAGGGGAAGTCGTGGAAGTAGTGACAGACTTCACGTTCCTGGGATCCCAGATCACCGCAGACTGTGACAGCAGCCATGAAATTAAAAGATGCCTGCTCCTTGGGAGGAAAGCGATGGCGAACCTAAACAGCATGATAAAAAGTAGAGACATCACCCTGACAACAAAAGTCTGCATGGTCAAAGCAATGGTATTCCCAGTAGTCATGTATGGCTTCGAGAGTTGGACTATAAGGAAGGCCGAGCGCCGAAGAATAGATTCTTTTGAACTATGGTGTTGGAGAAGACTCTTGAGAGTCCCTTGGACTGCAAGAAGATAAAATCAGTCAATCCTAAAAGAAATCAACCCTGACTGTTCCCTGGAAGGCCAGATAATGAAACTGAAGCTCAAATACTTGGGCCACCAAATGAGAAGGGAGCACTCACTGGAGAAGACCCTGATGCTGGGAAAGATTGAAGGTCAAAGAAGACGGGGATGGCAAAGGATGAGATGGTTAGACAGTGTCATAGATGCAACGAACATGAAATTGAGCAAACTTCATAGGACGGCGGAAGACAGGAAGGCCTGGCGTGATCTGGTCCATGGGGTTGCGAAGAGTCGGACTCGACTGTGCGACTGAACAACAAAAAATGTCATTCACAGTTAGCAATGCCAAGCTTGCTTTTAAACATGCTGTTTAATTTGGGGTGTCTTTTGCGCCAAAGTTGAATTACAGTAAATCAGACTTCCTGTGCCACTAATTTCAAAAACGATACTCCGGTGATCACAGTGGCAATCCAGGAAAATAAAACACTATTTACAGTACTGTCTGCCATAGTGAAACAAGGATTTCAAAAGAATAATAAATACAACTAGAAGAAGAGATTGGATTTATACCCCACCCTTCACTTGTATGTTAAAAGTGTCCTGCTATATATAATAAAATTGCAGTAAGATGTGTAAGCATTTATTCATCCTGTAAGATGAGCACAACATAATAAACTGCCACCCAACCCGAACTGAGTGTTTTTGATTTTTACGATTTGTGGAGCAATCCTAAAAAGAGCTATACCCTCTTAAACCTGTTGACTAAAACAGGTTAGGATCATACTGCTAATGGATTATGCATGTTATTTATTTTGCACTTCTCTTGCGATATATATTTCTAGGGATAACTCAAAGTGCTGGTGGTTATCTTCAAAGTTCTAGTACTATTTGGGGCCAGAGCAAATGAAGGTCTGCAGAAGTGAGCAGTGGCTCACGGAAGCTCCTCCCCGGCCACAGATTGTGTTAGCCTTTAAGGTGCTCCTGGACTCTTGCTCTTTTCTACTGCTACAGACAAACACCACTACCCATCTTGAAGGTCTGCAAGTTCTTATAGGAACCTGCTCAGCTCTTAAGATCTTCAGGTGTAACAGGTAGCCACCAAAGACAGGGCAATATTCACCTGTGGTGCCCTTTTGTGGAACTCACTCCCCATAGCGGTCCACCTGGACCCTACTCCTTTGAGTTTTAGAACTCAAATAGATGCTTCTACTTTCTGGGGCATGTGGAGAGATGATAGGGAGAACTCTGTTTTTCTCCCTTGCCTTTTGTGTTGTATTGCTTTTAAACTGGTGTTTGTTTTCACTGTATTTGGGTTATAAACAGACATACCTTGGGAAGTTTCTATGGAGAAGCAACACAAAAGAACCTGAATCAAATAAACCCTCTTTTATGTCCCAACAAAAGGCTAATTTCTTACTAGAAAAATCAGCACAGATCATCTAACGGGCTTTGAATCTGCTTATACAATGCAAGATCTCTCAAAATTTGCAGTTTATGGTGATGGCAGCCTCAAGCTGTCCTAAATATTTACATTTCCTTTTGAGGCCATGCTACTAAGAGTGTCAAATACAGGTTGAGACCGACAAAAACATGGATGCAGAACTTTAAATGGATACAGAACTTTAGAAAGTAAATACCTATGCAAAAATGGGAATGGTTATAGAAAAAAGAAATTCACAGCCAGCCAGGCATCGAGAAAATTGGTATAAAATGTTTTTCAGATGGTATATTACTCCAAAAAATGTTGGGAAAGTAGACAAAAACTACAAGGGAAAATGTTGGAAATGTCAAGATATAGATGGAACTTTTAATCATATGTGGTGTACTTGTAAAAGAGCAAGAAAATATTGGAAAGAAATACATGGAAAAATGCAGAATATATTAACATTTAAATTCCCTATGGAAGCCAAGAATATGCTATTAGGAATATTGCCTAATAAATTACCAAACGTTTTGGAAGAAAAATTTGAATATATGGTGACAGCAGCTAGAATCATCTACACAGCAAAATGGAAACCAAAGATCTGTCCAAGCTTAAAAGAATGGGGAAAATAAACTTTTCAATTATGCAGTAGTGGTGAAATTAACAACTTATTTGAGAAACAGATCAGTTTCGAAATCTGAGGAGAGCTCGAGTGTCTATTACGTAAGCAGGAGACAAACTTGGAATGAGAAAGTTTTAAAATTGTCTATAAATGTATTGCAACACATATAAATGTATTACAATGTAGAATTTGAATAAGTTTTGAATATACATGTATAAAGAAGTGGATTTTGAACAAAAATATCTTTTATTTTTTGTTGTGAGATATCTACAGACTTTTCTTTAAACTTTGGTATATTGGGACCTATGGCTAGTATGCAGAAATGACGAAATGTGTGGCATAGAGTGTGTAGTAATGATGAAATTAATAATGTAGCTGTAAAATGGATAGGGACATAAGAGAAACCAATGTTGGATCAGGCCAATGGCTCATCTAGTCCAACACTCTGTCACACAGTGGCCAAAAGTACCAGGTGCCATCAGGAGGTCCAGCAGTGGGGCCAGGGCAGTTATGAAATCTGAAATTTAAAATGTCTGATGTTAAGGGCTGTTGTATTTTATAGACAATGTCTTAAAAATTATAATGAAGGGGATGGTGGAGAGAAATACTCTCTGTTCTGTATTCCTATGGTGTATAGTAACCTTTGATTTATATAGTTTATTGTATAATCCTCCCTTTCCTTTAGTACCCCCTTTACATCATTGTATTGTTTTCTAAAATAAAAAAAGAAACGGATGAAAACATAGAAATCCAGAGCAAGAAGGGACCCCAGAGGTCACCTAGTCCAACTCCCTGCACAATGCAGGAAATTCACAGCTACCTCCCTTCCCCCACTCCTCCAGTGACCCCTGCTCCATGCCCAGAGGAAGGTAAAAAACCTCCAGGATCTCTAGGCCAATCTGGCCTGGAGGAAAATTCCTTCCTGACCCAAAAGTGGCAACCGGCATTACCCTGGGCATGTAAGAAAGGGCCATAAGAGGCGAGAGCCTGCCCCTGGCTCTTGACCTCCTGCTCACAGTCTGCTGAAATTCATAGTGACCAGTAAGTAAATAAGAAATTCCCAGTAACCTTGTTTGTCCACAGGGAAATCCAGTAACTAAACCCATGTGACACTTTTTATTAAGACCAACCAAAGAAATACAAGATTCTGTTTCAGTAATTTTCATTCATCTTTAGAAGCTGCATTAGACGGATTTTTGTTTCTGACCAATAACAGTAAGCCTTCTACTTGAGATCCCGGAAGGCCACCACCAGCCAGAGCAGACAAACCAGTGATCTAACTCCATATAGGACTCTTCTATTTGTCTGTCCAAGCCGACCCTGCCGTGGTGGGAAAGAAACAAACAGCCAATGAGGAGCACCCGTTAATAACAGCCCTTTCCCAATTGTGCCATACTGACCTAGAAAAATGAAGGGCGTGTGTTCCTTGGCTGCAAGTCCTACACCACGTTCTCGGCACTATACGGAATCTGAATGGATTGTGCTGAAACAATGCCCCACTGTGTGCCATTCAGCAACAGTTTCGTACTTTCTTCAGACCTACCCCATCTCCTTAAGTCATGGCCTCAAGTTGACTGGAATTACACTGCCGACTTGAGAATGTACGGGTGAGATTTTGAACTCATCCACCAAATTGTTCAGTTTCAGAGAAATCATTGTGACCCAACGGAACCAACTATTAATCCTGGCAAGGACCTCTCCTGGAGCAATGCCCCCCTCCCCAAACCCGTATTCGAAGTACCATTTATAACAAAAAGGCAAATGTTCACATGGGACTTTTCCAAAACAGACTCCATGGAGGTTCTCTTGTCTGTTTCCAAAACAGATGATTCAGCAGTTTTTCTAGCACACGCGTCCAAGGGGAGGACTTGGGGATTTGACCCAACCCGACTAATCGTTTACTAAGAACCTCCTACATACATATGTTGAAGTGGGTTCTAACCTACAAAGGCTTATACTGGAATGAAATCACAGCAGTGCCATAAAAGTCTCTTGAACACATGGGGCTGCCTTAAACCAAGTCAGACCATTGGTTTAATCCAGGTCGGTGCTCTCCTCTCTGACTGGCAGCAGATCTAGTCAGGGGCGCAGGCCGAGGTCTTTCACCTCACCCGATCCCTCTAACTAAAGAGGCCATGGGACCTCCTGCGTGCAAAGCACGTGCTCGGAGAAGTAGCCATAGCTCCTGTTTATCCCCCCCCCCCCCAAGCCACCCCTTTCCAGTTGTTGCCTTCTTCTAGCATATGCGGGAGGTTATTCTTGAAAAGAGGGTGAGGGTGATGACAGGGTGGAGCTCCGCCTTCCCACCCCTCCGGGTCCCCATCGCACAAAACTTGCTCTGAAAGTTTACTTTTTTTTTAAAAAAAAGCGTAAGTGGTGCCCAAACAATGTGCTGGGCGCTGTGCAGAAGTTAGCAGGGATAAGGTCCCTGCTTGGAACTCCCATTATATTCGGCAGAAGGAAACACCTAACCCCCGACCCCTTCCCCGTTATACCCAGGCACGTCAATTACAAACCCACCGCCCCAATTCGGGCGGGGGGCTTACTGAGGGAAAGCGTTTCTCTGTGTCTCCCGCCCCATTGAGAGGCGTCAAAGGTCAAGGATCCCCCCTGCCCCTCCGGCCAATTACCTGGCAACGACGGCGAGGCTCGTCGCCTCCTCCCCCTCCGAGCCTTAACGGCGTCCTTCCCCTCCTGCTCTCACCCTCCCGGGAGGAGGCCAACCCCACTTCCGCCTCCTCTGACCATCTTCCTCCCACCCGCTATGGGCGCCGACACCTTTAGTGAGGGCACGGCTGCGGGTGTCGGATTCTTTTTCTGCGCATGCGCGTCTGCTCTTTCCGTCGCAAAGGTTGATAAAATCGCTAAACTTCTTCCCTGCGTAGAGTTAGGAAAATTCAGGAACAGCGTCCCGGAGACTGCCGGTTCCCATGTGAACACCACCCTATGTGTATTGAGGAGGGGGGTATAATGCAGCGAGGTCGAGCAAGGCCCATTTGTCCAATCTGCCTGGGAGGGAGTTCACGTGTTTAGACCAGGAAGACCTCTGCTTGAATCCTCATTCTACCACAGTGCGCTGTAGGACTAGCTTCCAAGAAGGTGTGGGAAAGATGGCAGCTTTAGTTATCCATGGAACGTAACGGAGGGAGTTTCTTTTCTGCCCTGACAAATCTGTGGCATGGCACCCTCTCCTAGCTCTTTGCCTTGGATGGCTTTCGTATTCGGCTGGAAATAATAAATGTTGCTTCCTGGAAACTCGTAGAGTTTAAGAGACGCTACCCCTATTGGGCGCTGAGCACAACAGACATTTGCAAAAGGATTTGAAAGAAAAAGGACTTTGAGATTCCAGCTTGATAAAGAGCGCAGCAAGGGTCTCTTTTCCTGTGTTTGAAACTGAGATTCTCTGAAGAGGGAATTGTGCTCCTCCCCTTGCCGTAATAAATAGGAAAGTTGTTTTATCATCACTACCCCTTCTCCCCACCTGAGAGCATCCGAGAGTCCTACTCTACTATGAGCCCAGGATGCTTCCAAAGATCGTTGTTTTATCGCACACACCACTTTGGTGAGTTCAAGTTAGCAGGCCCGTGACCCAAGGAACTCAACATCTAAACGTTGCTGTGTGGGGGGAGAGGGTGCCTTCTAGTCAGACCACTGACCCGCCTAGCCCAGTACTACCCACAGACTGAGTAGTTCTCCAGTGTATGAGGCAGGAACTTTCCCTGCTATTGCCTGAGATATTGGTGACTGAATCCTTATGCAATGCAGACCTGGCACTGCACTACATGGTGTTAGCTGCAGCATCAAGAACTGGCATCCCAGGCTTTTTCAGTGTGGCCATGCATATTTTTAGGGAAAACCTCATCAGTATTAAGCATAAACAGTTTTAACTGTCTACCACCTAACAAAAGCATCTTCAGTATTCAGCTAAAGCACGACATTATTTTAGAGATAACCTTTTATTTATTTATTTTTGGCCCAGCAGAGCCAAAACGCAAACTGTCAAGTGGAACAGCAGTCATTTTTCCTCCTTGCTGGTGAAATGAATCACTCAGAAACTGGCTACCACCCAACACCATGGGCCCAATGAAAGGATAACTAATACCTACATATATATATTTATGCAATGAGCATAAACAGTCATACACAAATAAGCAGCAGCTCATATTTCTCTCAGATCCTGAGATGAGTTCACATTAGTCTTACATACAGGTCATATATTTTAACAAGTTAAACTTTTTGAAATGATAGCCAATTCCTGGAAATTCACAGAGTAAATATCGGTCCAGAATCACAACTACAGTCCAGCATCTCGAGTCTCCATAAACTGTATCAGCACAACTGCAGGGAAAATTCAAGAAATAAACCTTGGGGACTTTTGGTTATCAGGCCATCGTATTGTATGTTTGACACACTGCAATGCTTTGTGGACAGGTTGTGTGATTTACTAGCTCAGTTTTTTAGCCTCCAGCTCACAGATTTTTGTCTTAGCTCAGGAAGGAGGGCTCCAGAGCAAACTGATTTATGCAGCAGCCAAATCACTCGCTCACAGCTTTATTGCCAGTAGCTCACAAAGTAGAATTTTTGCTCACAAGACTCTACAGCTTAGAGGGAGCATTGCCACGGACATAAAATGGATACTTCTGCAAACCCCCACCCCCCGGTTTGCAAAAAAAATATGTATTTATTATATTGGAGAGGGTTTGGGAGTTTTTTTGCCCTCGGGTTGCAGCCGGCTTGAGGCAACGTCGGGTTTTCAAGGCAAGGTGCATTCAGAAGTGACCTGCCACCGCCACCCTGGTATTCCTTGGTGGTCTCCCATCCAAGTACTTACCTGGGCCAACCCTGCCTAGCTTCTGAAATCTGACATGGATCAGGCTAGCCTGGGATATCCAGGTCAGGGCTGGGGCGGCTTAAATCCCTCCAGATAAAGGGTGTTTTGTGCTTATAACGGACTTGCACAGAGGAGACGGTGCCAGCACCCAGAGACCATTTCAGGTCTGTTCACGGCATCAGCGTCTGGGAGCCACTCGGAGACAGCTGCGGCTCCCAATGACCATCACTGCATGGAGGTGGCGCAGAAGCCTGGAGCCGCACTGGGCTCGGTGACTCGGGGTTAGGCTCGGAAGGGAGCTGTGCCTGGGCTCACTGGGAGAGGGGTGGCCGGATGGAATCCCCTCCCGTAAGTCCCGTAAGCGGTGGCACAGTGGGTATATCCCACTGTCTTAACATCTGAACTGTGTTGGTTCAAGCCCCGCACTGGTGTGAGCAGCCAGCCTGTTGTCCCCAGCTCATCATCCACCCAGCGATTCAAAAGCTTTGGCGAGTAGATAAAATGGGAACCACTCCTCAGAGAGAGTGGGCAGGCCAATCTCCCTTGTGGGAGGGCGTTAGCTGACGGACGTCCTGGTCGAGGCTTGGAAGGCGAAACAGCTTCTGGGCTACGAAAGAATCCCTGCAATGGATGTTCCGGCCAGGCAGTGGCAGTGTGGCGATTGACAGGTCCTGAAGCCTGGCCAACAAGCAGCCGTGCGGAAAACGACGGAGCCGAGCCAGAAAGACGTCTATACCGGGCAGTGATGGCGCGTGCAATTAAAAATGAATATACGTTGTCATCCCTATCCCCTACAAACATTGTATTATTATTATTATTATTTTTGTGAGCCCCCACCAAACAGTTAAATAACAAGTGCTTTACGTGGAACGTAAGAAAAACAGGTCTAAAAGCCAATAACGGTGGTGGCTAAAATATAATGTACGGATTTGTTACAATTAATTTCCCTGACAAACAAAAGGTTTGGTCTCCGTGCTTTACATTTTTTGTCCTTGCCTCCTGTTACTAGACATAACCTACTTTTTAGGCTGTGCAATCGAGACAAAATAGCCTCTGTACATATCTTCCAAATATTCTATGCAAATTTACATTCACAGCCAAACTATTATTAACCTCTGTTAGGCTCTAAGATTTCATTAGCCGCTTTTGTTGTTTTCTACAGGCAAGGCTTAAAATCCTGATTTCCATAACTAAGAGTAATGCGGGTGGGTGCCTCTACTCCTGGAGGAAGGAGCAAAAATGTGCATCAGGTGGATACATCCTTGCAGCTATGACAATCACTGGAAGGGACGGACAGCATTATAGGAACAAGGGAACAGAAACTTGTCAAAGGCCAAGCTTGCACAGAAGCCGATTTTCAGATGTCCTGACGCCCACATGATGCTAACTAGCATTTATCTCAGCTCTCCAACGGCAGTAACTTGGTATCCCACCAACTTTCTTACATCTAGTTTAAACTCAGAAACTGGGACCTTCCTGGGGCTGACACTCAGCTATTGAGACCAAACACAAATATTTGCTCCACCAAAATCTAAACATTCACTCTGTAGTCATGAAACATTTCCCCTAAAGCCTGAAATGGCAGATTCTGAATATATCTCGAGGTTTATACCCTGCATTCTTGGCACAGTTGCCCTTGAAGTAGTGTACAACCCGAGTACTCAGTTCTATTTTAAAATGTACCAGACAAAACGCCTGATTTGTTTGAGAGTGTGCGCATAATGATACTGAGGAGCTGCGGTGGCTGAAGTAGTTAAGATGCTGAACTGCAGGCTGTGGAAGGTCGGTAGTTCAGCAGTTCGAGACCCGAGTGTGCCGCATGACGGAGTGAGCTCCCGTCTCTAGTTCCAGCTCCTGCCAACCTAGCAGTTCGAAAGCAAGAAGTTGTAAGGAGATAAATAGGGACCACTTCGGTGGGAAGGTAACAGCATTCCGTGCGCCTTGGCATTTAGTCATGCCAGCCACATGACCACGGAAACATCTTCGGACAGCGCTGGCTCTGCGGCTTTGAAACGGAGATGAGCACAACCCTAGAGTCGGACTTGACTGGCTTTCGAGCAAGGGAACCTTTACCTTTACATGATACTGATAGGAACGCGGCTAGGTTCAAGCCCAGCAGCGTCCTAAAGACCGACAACATTTCCAGGGTGTCAGCTTTTAAGAGTCAAAGCTCCCTTTGCCCACCAGAGACTAATATGAACACAGCGATGTACGAGTTCGTCAGGGCATTTATTTCCCTCCGTACGTACAAAAGGACTTTATGCGATTTGTGCCTTAAGACGTCAATGATAACATGCTATTATTACACCGTGAACAATTCAGTGAAACACGCAATCCGTCCCACCCACCCTAGGACTGAACAGTCAGCTATGTGGATGTGTTTATCTTCTACTGAGCCCACCAAACACTGAAGCCAGCAAATACAAAGCACAGAGATGAAACTACTTATTGCACTTCAGTAACTATAAGTATGTCGAACGCCTTGTGGACAGTCTGTGAGCAGAGAGGCGTAAGTGAAATGGTGTGTTTGTGCGCGTGTGTCTTTACATGTGTCTTAAGATTGAACAGTTATAGCTGACTTGTCTGTGGCCTGCTCACAGTACCCCACGGTACCACTGCCTGCCCGATCAGGGCAATGCGCAGGGTTCCACTGCGGTCAGGGCTGTGTCACAATCGTGGCTATGCCAGCTGTGACCATCTTCCAGGGAAACGAGGGAGCTGGAAGAGGGTGGAGAAGAGAAATGTGTTTGTGGTTTGGTCTTAAGACAGCATGGGGGAAATTACGTTTTGATTCTAATATTCTGGGCTAGGGGAGAAAACATACAAACAAACGAAACCAATCAAGCACTTTCGTGCATCGACAGGTGACTCAAGAGGTCTTTCTCGCTGCCAAACCTCATTAAGCAATCGGTGCACTTGTGAGGCAACTCGGCGGAATGCCTGAAGTCCAAGTGAATCTTGAGGTCTCCGATCTGCCCTGTGGAATATTCACAGTATTGGCACAAGTAGATCCCTTCGGAGACGTGAGTGTTCAAGTGTTTGCAGTACTCCAGCATGCCCGAAAAGCCCTTCCCGCAGTCGTCGCAGACGTGGGGGAAGATTTTGGTGTGCTCGATCGCCACGTGCCGGTTGACGTTGGTGTGCAGCCTGCTGCGGAAGCCGCACACCTGGCACACAAAGAAGTTCTTGCACTTGTCGAAGCTGATCTTGTTGACCAGGCTGTACTGCCCCGCCGGCTGGCGGCTGTGGTAGCTGTCGCTCAGCTCGATCAGCCGCCCCGCGTGCTCGTTCACCACGTGGCTGTGCAAGTCCTCCGGGTCGCTGGTCTCGTGCTCGCAGAACTGGCACAGGTACTGCTCGTCGCAGCTGTGCTCCTGGAAGTGGAGGTACAGCTCGCTGCTGGAGGAGAACTGGACATCGCACTGCTCGCACCAGTACAGGTGGTCGCTGAAGTGCGTGTCGGCTATGTGCTGGCTCAGGTTCTCAAACATCACCGTCTTGTAGTCGCAGTATTTGCAGATGTAAGGGTCCTCCTCGTGGATTTTCAAGTGTTCGATGAGCACTTTCTTCGAGGAGAAGCTCTCCTTGCAGACCCGACAGATGTTGCCCTCCACACACGTCTTGTGCTTCAGGACGATGTGCTGCTTCAAATCGGAGAAATACTTGCTGTTGAACGTGCAGCGTTCGCACTTGTACAGGCCGCTGCTGTTGGCCCGGAGCAAAGGCCACTTGGGCTGGATGGTGACGTTCAGGGGAGGGTTCTTCCCCGGCACCTTGCAGCCTTCCGTGGGGACGTCCTCGGCATCCTCCGCCTCCAGCTTTTCGGGGGAGACCGTCTGAGTTTCTATGTCGTGAACTTCCACGGCCTGGACTTCCGTAGTGGAAATCTCCACTGTCTGAATATCCAGAGGTTTTTCTTCTTCGGTTAAGGTGTCACTGAAGATAGGTGAATCACAGGTGTCCTTGTAAATGCCATTATTAGCTGGTTTGTCTAGAGGAGGAGACAGGAGAGAGGAGAGACCCAAATTAGAAAGAAGATACCGTTTGGCGAGATTTCCTCTCCCACCACCACCGTGCCACCCCTTTTGGACTATTTCATTATTAATTAGAGTATGTCAGACAATATGCTAGCTTCGTATCAGAGTCTGGGTCAAATTTCACTATAGTTATGAACCCGCCCGGCCGCCTCAATCCCCCCGTCTGTACACAAGACGATAATGATCTGGCTCACAGGCTGAGTTGGAGGGGACAGGGATGATAGAGAGAGGTACATGGTAAATATTGCATGTCAAAAGCAATCCTCCCAACACAAAGCCTATCTTCCTTAGATCACTAAGACAGCCATCCCATGCATTCCTACTAGACAGAAAGTCCCACTGATTTCTGAGCAATACACTGCGAGGGTTTTAACTTTCAGTAAGGGACCTTTTCACTGAAATCTCTTCCAACCATCGTTTCCTTATACATTTAAGATTCTCTCTGGGGCACAAGATTGGTAGCCGGACATGTGCGACCCTGGCAATACAGTCTTTCATTTACCTTTCTTTTTAGAGTCCACGAAGTGTGGCCCCATGGCATTAGACTGGGCCCCACTCCAATGAGATGTCCCAGCATGCACTGGGCTGCCATCGTCATCAGTGTCTGTACTGTGTACTGCAGTATGAAATCTACCTGTTGAAAAAAGGGATGTTTGGTGTTCTCATCCTATTTCAGCCCATAACATTTTGCAAGAACCTTTCATGTCATAGCAATACAAACTTTGGGGCTTTTCACTCCCTGTTTGGGAAGCTCAGGATGGGGAACGTTATTACCATCATTTCCTTATACATTTGAGATTCTCTCTGGGGCACAAGATTGGTGCCCGGACATGTGCAGCCCTGGCAATACAGTCTTTCATTTACCTTTCTTTTTAGAGTCCACGAAGTGTGGCCCCATGGCATTAGACTGGGCCCCACTCCAATGAGATGTCCCAGCATGCACTGGGCTGCCATCGTCATCAGTGTCTGTACTGTGTACTGCAGTATGAAATCTACCTGTTGAAAAAAGGGATGTTTGGTGTTCTCATCCTATTTCAGCCCATAACATTTTGCAAGAACCTTTCATATCATAGCAATACAAACTTTGGGGCTTTTCACTCCCTGTTTGGGAAGCTCAGGATGGGGAACGTTATTCTTTTAAAAGAACGATGGATGCCTGCCTGCTGTTCTTCAGCCATGCAAGCAATACAGTAGCTGTATTATGACATTCATATATATATTTTTATGATGATGATTAAAGTAGTGCGGGATAAAAGCAGAACACAATTTTTCCAGTGTGTACTTACATAAGGGCTAACTCTACAGCAGATTTATAAAAGAAAAGCTTACACACTTTCTCTCCCAAACAAAAAAAGCACACAGAAAACAAACCACATTGCCCTTCCTGCCAAATAACAAAGGAATGATATGACGTTTCTGCTGTGCTCAATTCAAGAACCACCTCCTAGCCTTTGAAGGCAGCTCAAGAAGAAGAGGAAGAGATTGGATTTATACCCCACCCTTCACTCAGAGTCTCAGAGCGGCTTACAAATGCCTTTCTCTTCCCCTCCCCACAAGAGACACCCTGTGAGGTAGGTGGGGCTGAGAGCGCTCTTTCAAGAACTGCCTTTTCAAGGACAGCTCTTGTCAGAATTATGGCTTGCCCAAGGTCATCCAGCAGCTGCAAGTGGAGGAGTGGGGAATCAAACCCGATTCTCCCAGATTAGAGTCCACACACTTAACCACTATACCAAACTCACTCAAGAACAAACTTCCCCAAAAAACTCTAATTCATGTTGTATTTTAACAGCTTCACATGCTAAAATTGGCTTAGGCCTCTGTAAGCCGCCCTGAGCCTGCTTGCGGGGTAGGGCGGGGTAGAAATACTCGAATAAAAAAATAAAATTTGTTTTTAATATACACTTGACATAGATCCTATGTCCCAGCAAACGTTTCAGTATTTGAGAGGCAACCGTATTAAAATTTCAAACCTAGCAATTCATGCTGCGCTTTATTTATGTAAGTGTAATGATTTTTTTTTTTTGCATTCACAGAGCATGAAAAACAACAAAAGTACCTGCAACTGTCAGAAATGGACTGAAGGTATGTCACTGATTTGGTAACTCATACTGCCTTAGGTAGGTCAATTTCAAGATCAGAGTTATTTCAAAATTACAGTACAGACACTCTTGAGTGCTGTCACCCACACACTATCTTTGTTTCACACACAGAAGACTCTCTTTAAAAATGAAAGACAAATGACTTGCAATATTTGGAGGCCATGTACCTAATTCCAATGAATGACCCTGGCATTTTTAACTGTAACGGTAATGGGAAGGTCAAAAGGGTTTTTGTGTACAATCCTCTCTTATTAAAGGAAAAATCGTCCTGCAAGAGCTATACTTTCCTACAAGAAAGCTGTATGCATTCTTTTTGTTAAGTATATCCTCTTCCCCAGGTATGTGGCCAGGTGGTGGCGGCTACAAGCATGGACGGCTTCAAGAGGGAATTGGAGAAACATATGGAGCAGAGGTCCATCAGTGGCTGTTAGCCACAAGGTATAGGTAGGAACTCTCGGTCTGGGGCAAGTGATGCACTGTATTCTTGGTGCTGGGGGGCAACAGTGGGAGGGCTTCTAGTGTCCGGGCCCCACTGCTGGACCTCCTGATGGCACCTGGTATTTTTGGCCACTGTGTGACAGAGTTTTGGACTGGATGGGCCATTGGCCTGATCCAACATTGGCTTCTCTAGTGTTCTCTTATTGACCACAGGCACACTGTCAGGATTTTTCATAAACATTCTCTTTATCCAAAAGCTTCCACAGTAATTGCTGCAAATAAAATCCTGGCTTCCATACTGAGTATGTGGCTACTGACTTCATTAAATCAGAAAATACATGAGGATCCCGTGATCTCTAAGTGGAGCCCTGCTCACAGAATAATGCTTCCCCCAGGTTGAGGAACACCCAGGAACAGCGCTGGATGCAACATGGGAATCTGCAGTAACCCCCGCTGCTCCCCAATGCACTTGTGCTAGTAGAAATACAGCATGCAATCCAACCCTTTTCTTTCTACAGGAGAAATTATTTCAAAAATGCTTCCAAATATACCAACTCTTTCTGAATTCATCTACATCAGAGACGCAAAGAGGTTTCCAAGAAGACAGAGCATCACTTGCCCCAGAGCCCCTATCTATACCTTGTGGCTAATAGCCACTGATGGACCTCTGCTCCATATGCTTATCTAATCGATATGATGTTGCATGGGATGCAACATGGGAATCTGCAGTAACCCCCGCTGCTCCCCAATGCACTTGTGCTAGTAGAAATACAGCATGCAATCCAACCCTTTTCTTTCTATAGGAGAAATGATTTCAAAAATGCTTCCAAATATACCAACTCTTTCTGAATTCATCTACATCAGAGACGCAAAGAGGTTTTAAGAGAATGGTCAACTACAGTGAATGTGCTCTGTGTGTGTTACGTGCCCCAAAGTTGCTTCAGACTTACAGTGACCCTATGAACTAATGACCCCCAAAATGTCCTATCATTAACTTGCTCTGGTCTTGCAAACTGTAGGCCGTGGATTCTTTTATTGAGTCAATACCTCTCATTTTGGGTCTTCGTCTTTTCCTACTGCCTTCAACTTTTCCTAGCATTATGGTCTTTTCCCGTGAAACTTGTCTTCTCATGCCTACAGAAATAATTTAATATAAAACTAGAAGTCTAAGATAAAAGAAGGCACGGAATTGCAAGAAGAAATGGCTTCTGCCTTCTCTTTCCTGTGAGGAAGGCACAATTTATTTATGGTCTAGAATACCCCACATCTGCTGCAAAGGCAGGAAGTTCCCTGCAATTTATACACAGATAACGTATGACTTAGAGAGAGGGGAAAAAAGAAACATGCAACTTTACCCCCACCCACCTATTTATGAAAGATATAGCAAAGTGCTACCTTACCTCGATTATCAGAAACTTTCACATCTAGCTGTTTCATAGAACAGACGCTGTAACAGTGGTCAGAAAATATGCCACTATTGTCTATGTATTTTGGTAAACCTGAAGAATCTAGAAAAAGTCAGAGAGGGGGAAAAGGCAAAAATCAGCTTATCTATTTGACGCAAGTACACAAAACTTCTGCTCCTTTCTGATGGCCAGTGGTACTAAAACAATATTTAGAATGTAAACATTCAGGTGGGTAGCCGTGTTGGTCTGAAGCAGCAGGACAAAGTCTGAGTCCAACAGCACCTTTAAGACCAACAAAGTTTTATTCAAGGTATAAGCTTTCATGTGCAAGCACACTTCTTCAGACACACTTCATTGTATCTGATGAAGTGTGCTTTGCACACGAAAGCTTATAACTTGAATAGAATTTTGATAGTCTTAAAGGCGCCACTGGACTCAAACTTTAGAATGTAAACAGTGAATCACATTTTCAAAGCATGCCACAGGTAACATCGTTAATTGTGTTTTGCTAAACTCACTGAAATCAGCACTTCTTCAGACACACTTCATTGTATCTGATGAAGTGTACTTTGCACACGAAAGCTTATAACTTGAATAGAATTTTGTTAGTCTTAAAGGCGCCACTGGACTCAAACTTTAGAATGTAAACAGCGAATCACATTTTCAAAGGATGCCACAGGTAACATCGTTGTGTTTTGCTAAACTCACTGAAATCAGAATCAGTGTAAGACACATTGGATGGAAGAATATATGTGTATATGTATATATGTATGTATGTATGCATGCGTATTCTTCATGAGATGTGATGAAGAATATATATTGTGTGAATGGGATGGAAGGATTATAACTTCTTTCCGTTTTCCTCCTATCACTCCACAGTGCTTCCCCCACCTTATGACAGTTATTTTAATACCCACCACCACCACCACCAAGTATTGCTGGAAAGAGCTGTCTACACAACGTCCCTCATTCAGTGATGTGGGTTTTCTAGGAAAATCTGTTATCACGTAACAGATTGGCTGTTGGCGAAAGAAGGCAAAACCATCATGCACACGCCTAGACCATGTGTAACCACTGGGGTGTGTCCACACTTCATATCCCACATTTAGCCCATCTAAAATGATTGAGTCCACTGCACAACTTTTGACAACTACAGTTAAGCAAACTGTATTTGCCTATGTGGGGCAGAAGAATCTTCCACATAAAAATATAGCACAGGGAAATTTCCTGCCCCACATCTTTGCTCCCATTTCCTACCACGTTTCCCTTAGGAGCAATGCTGCTACTGCTGTGTAGGCCGGGGGGGATGTTTTGTGCCATAGGGGTAACAGTGGTGCCGCTGAGTGCAACGGAGGTAAGTGAAGCTATTTGGCTTGTTGAATGTAAGCGCTGGTATTGGCAGAGGACAATGTACCATCTACGCAGCTTCCACCCCGGGATTTCTCCCTGCACAGACAACGGCAAAAAGCCTCCGCATTTTATGGGAATGTCCGCATGATGTCATGCTTGTTCTGAACTTTGCTCCCATTTCTGACCACGTTTCCTTTAGGAGTAATGCTACTACTGCTGTGTAGGCCGGGGGGGGGGGATGTTTTGTGCCATAGTTGTAACAGTGGTGCTGCTGAGTGCAACGGAGGAAAGTGAAGCTATTTGGCTTGTTGAATGTAAGCGCTGGTATTGGCAGAGGACAATGTACCATCTACGCAGCTTCCACCCCGGGATTTCTCCCTGCACAGACAACGGCAAAAAGCCTCCGCATTTTATGGGAATGTCCGCATGATGTCATGCTTGTTCTGAGTACGACTTGTGGCATTCCCAGGGCTCTCCCCTTTCCAAGGGACCAAAGACAAACCTTTTGTGTGCTTTAAATGGAGAACTGTGGGCCGGCTGTCTCTCTGCAGGCTCAACTCATAGTCATCATGGGGAAAGGGGCAGAGCTAAGCTGCACTTGCTGGCCTCAAACCCCCCCCCCCATTTAAAAGGCCTTTTCTTTTTTTGCTTTGTCTGCCAAGACACGTTACCCAGATTGGCAAGGAAAGCGAGGCAGGATCAGAGAGACAGGAAAGGAGTAGAGGTCCAACATTAATTTAACCTCAGATCTGTTTCGAAACTGGACTACCTGAATAGCGTGAAGGGTGCAGAGTCTTCCTCTTCCTCTTCTTTGGATGCTCGTTCATTTTGTTTCAGTCTAGAACAGAAAAAGCAGCCCACAAACAAACAAACAAACAAATTTATTAAGAACAGTCATAAGACCAGCAAAATAAACCAAAATAGTACAACACCGAGTCTACAACATAGAATCCTTGCAGCCTTAAATACTAAAATACGAAACCGGTCAATTCCGTCATTAATGGCTCCAGTTACAGTACATTCTACGCTTTTTAATTACCAGGTAACAATATTTAGCAACATTGCGTGGGACAGAATCATAAGTGTCGGCCAATAAGAACTTCATAAAACATTCCTCGGCATATGTAAGATAATTACCAAGGGTTTAAAACGTGAGAGAAGGGGTATCAACAACTGCTGTCTCTCTTCGTCGTACATAGGACAATGGAGTAATATATGGGAGGCCAACTCCACCTGTTCTAACAAACAGGAGCAAATTCAAAAGCAGCCCACAAGTAACAGGTCAGCGCTCCTTGTTATGGATTGATTTTGCTGCCAGAGAGACCTACACAGCTCCACGCAACAAGAAGCGATTTTCTCCCACTCTCTCCCGTGCACCCATATGGATCGACCCAATAAAACCACTCGCAAGACACAGGACTGTGAAAGAACACATCGGCATTCAAATAAAGCCATTCTACACGGAGGGGTGGTTTCATGTCTTTGGATGTCCCGCAGCTCTGGTTTTCCAGAGTCACAGCACAGCTGGTTTTAGAAATCAAAAGACCTATCCACTGAGAATACGTAAGAGCCAGACTGCTGCAATTCATTTCTAAAACGTTTTCCATTTCATCTTTAATCGCTTATTAGCCTATCACTTGATTACATACGTATGCCCAAAGGCCTGGATCACCGATGTGTTCAACCAATGCAAATAATAAAATACCCAGAGTCCAAACACTTCTTTAATGTTTCTACTAAAATAATGGCCTTATGGCCCAGGTGACAAAACTTTTCCTGTCCAATCAAAACATTTGCCAAACAAGTGTGATAACACACCGACTATATGAGAAAATGTTCCATTGGCCCGATTGAGACTGATTTAATACAAGGATGGGGTTTTTGCCTATATATACTGCTTTGAAGGCTTCTGTACATTATGAATGCTTTATAAAGTTTGATGAAGTTTTTGAAGAAGAGCTATCGAAACGAAGATTGAAATCCGGAGTCTTCGTCTTTGTACTACTTATTCTGTACTACCTATGTACTTGCGCATTACATGATGTATTTTGCTATCACTGACTACATGTGGTTTCTTGTTACTCCTTGTTAGTACAGTGTTATCTTGCTATATAAATGTTTTTCCTGCTGTTTATATTACTCGGGCACTCTTTGGTCTGTGCTATTTATGCAGTGTTTGTTTGTTTCAATCAAAACATTTGCCAGGTTCCTCAGATTCTCAACTGTATTTAAAAAAAATGGTCTTCACTTTGTGCAATTGTCACAAAAGCCCACGAAATACTCCACTGTGTTCTCCCCAAAGCAGGGTTCCCCATCTGGGTCAAAAGATAATCTAAAGCAGAGGTGTCAAACTCATTTGTTACAAAGGCCGGATCTGACATAAATGTCACTTTGCTGGGCCATAAAACATAATTCCAGGTACTGGAGATATAAACTTTATAAAGGACACAGACAAACGCAACTAACGGTATTTTTTTTTTTACTCAAAATACAAACAAAAGCAATTGATTCCCAGCAGTGAAAACAATTAATTTACTGGGGAACCCACAACCCCCCCAGTAAATGTATTTAATCATATGCAAGATTAGGTTCCCCCCCCAAGGGATACTATAAAAGGGGGGAGCACCTTATATTTCCATACATACCAGTTGCTTGTGGGCCATATTAGAGCCCTGGATCATGGGACGATACTGGTCCTTGGCTCTTATGTTTGACACCCTCGATCTAGAGGAATTTTAGTTTTTGACTGGTTCCCACCTGCCAGTTTTTGTGTATGATGCACAAAAGACTCCTCCTTCCCTTCGTGGGTTGTGAGACCATGTCCATCCCACCTGTGCTAGCAGGACAGGAAATTATCAGGAAGGCTCACAATAACCACCACCAAGGCCCTTTGAAAAGTACTGCAAAATGCGGTATTTCATAGGGCATACAAACAAACTGATAACAGCCGTATAGCAGTTTAAAAGCAGGGAGTAAAAAAATTATAAACGATTTGTAGCCTCCCTCAAAACACTATTATCTCCCAGAGTTCTTTGGGAAGAGGGAATTATGATTAATCCAGTTTACATCTGTAACCCTGTGCCTTCACAAAGCATCAAGAAGAAGAGGAGGAGGAGGAGGAGGAGGAGACCCTGCCCTTCACTTGGAGTCTCAGAGCGGCTTACAAACTCCTTTCCCTTCCCCTCCCCACAAGAGACACCCTGTGAGGTAGGTGGGGCTGAGAGAGCTCTTTTGAGAACTGCTCTTTCAAGAACAGCTCTGTCAGAACTATGGCTTGCCCAAGGTCACACAGCAGCTGCCAGTGGAGGAGTGGACTAAGAACTATGGCTTGCCCAAGGTCACACAGCAGCTGCAAGTGGAGGAGTGGACTCTCCCAGATTAGAGTCCACGCACTTAACCACTACACCAAGCTGGTGTGGCTTAGCATACTGCAGCCACGAAAGAGCACACATGAGGCAAAAAGCACACTGAAATGCAAATATTTTGTTTTGCTCATCTGGTGCTGTTTATAGAGCTGGCCCTGACAGAGAAATTTTTTAAAAAGGAACATGAACTTCCAAGCATGTTATGTTCTTACGGGATCATTTAGAAATGTTGCATTAGGATGAGCATCACATTTCATGGCAAGTTCCAAGACAGACTTCGAATGCTCCCATGACTATGCTGTCTACATAGCATATTCAGAATTACAGTTAAGGGCACATGCAGAGGATGCCGTTCCGGCTACTCCGCTGTTGGAAGATAAATTCCAGAGGGTGGCTGTGTTGATCTGGAGTAGAAAAGCTAGATTTGGGCCCAGTAGCACCTCAGAGAACAGCAAGATCTTCAAAGTATGAGCATATCTGAAGAGGGGAGCTTTGACTCTCAAAAGTTTATACCCAAAAAATCCCCTTGTTCTCGAAGGTGCTACTGCATGCAAATCTAGCTGCTCCATGGTTGTGTCAGGACCCACAGCGACAATGGAAGCAAAGACTGAAATCCGGAGTCTTTATCTTTGTACTACTTATTCTGTACTACCGATGTACTTGTGCATTACATGATGTATTTTGCTATCACTGACTACATGTGGTTTCTTGTTACTCCTTGTTAGCAGAGTGTTATCTTGCTATATAAATGTTTTTCCTGCTGTTTATATTACTCGGGCACTCTTTGGTCTGTGTTATTTATGCAGTGTTTGTTTGTTTCAATCAAAACATTTGCCAGGTTCCTCAGATTCTCAACTGTATTAAAAAAAAAAAGGTCTTCACTTTGTGCAATTGTCACAAAAGCCCACAAAATACTCCATTGTGTAGTGAAGGGCGGGGTATAAATCCAATCTCTTCTTCTTCCTCTTCTCTTGCTGACAGGTTGACGGATTCCATTTTCATGTAGGTTTGTCAAAACCTAAGCAACCCCAAACCTTTTGTTTCAGCGGGCGTTTGGAGGCGGTGTGTCCAGATGCATGCATTTTAGTTTATCTGCTTTGAAGCGTCTTGCTATTCTTACATCATCTTTGAGTTAAGAATACAATGCAAACTCGTAACTAAGGAGGCAGTTCTCCGTGTTTTCTCCGACAGGCTAGGAACAGAGCTTTTCTCGCAAGGACCTGCCTGCCAGCTGAGCACGTCCCTTCTCCAGGTTCCCCTGCTGTCAAAAGTGGGGCTGCCCCCAACTTTATCACCTTTTGGGCACCAGGTGACACCTGTCCAACTTACCTCAGCCTTTGGTGGCTAAATACGCTTGCAAGGTACTTCTGCCTTTTATTACTTTAGTTCTTTTTACTGCTGTGCTGCTGCCCTTTTTTAATCTGTTTAGGACATTCGAGTTGTGGAGTACTGCCGACGTCCAATGAGATTTGATGCTGCAGTCTTCATGTACTCATCTAAGTTTCTGTAGTTAAAACAGAAAAACAAGGAAACGCACTGAAAACCACTGCCTGTGTATTACTGGCAGACTGGATTTATCAAGAAAATACGCAACTACCCATGAAATTGAAACACACAAAAAAAGACTGAGGCCCGCGCCCACTTACCAGACGCACTCTTCATGGCCAGAAAGAGAAGAAGAACCACCGGCTTGTCAACTACAGTAGAAGCATCTGCAAGATGAATGGGAAAAGCAAACGTGGTAGTAATCAAAGGCTCAATAAAGTGTAGAAAAGATCACACAATATATATATATATGCACGGCTATTTTGGGGCAGGAACGCACAGGAACGGAGTTCCGGCTGGCTCCCGAGTTGGCCACGCCCAGCAGGAACTCATTAGCATAATAGGCCACACCCAACAGCAGGAACTCATTAGAATTGGCTACATTAGGGGTGTGTGGCCTAACATGCAAAGGAGTTCCTGCTACAAAAAAAGCCCTGGGTTTGGACAACAAAGAAGGTAAACAGAATGACAAGCAAAAGGTGGGTGTGGCTGGATAACCACACTTCTGGTAACATGGGGGTGCGGCCTAATGTGCTAATAAGCTGTGCTGTCATGGGTGTGGCCTAATATGCTAATGAGTTTCTGTGGATGGGTGTGGCCTATTATGCTAAAGAGTTCCTGCTGGGCTTTTTCTACAAAAAGAGCCCTGTATATAAGGTAAAGGGTTCCCTTGCTTGAAAGCCAGTCAAATCTAACTCTAGATGTGCATAAGTTACTCATCAATGAATTCTGAACATTCTGGCAGATACAGAGGTGGTTCCTGACCAGTAACCTTGTGGGCGACCTATGACAAGTAAAGACCCACTAGCTCAACTCCAAAACCACTGAACAGGTACAGCATGCACATCACTCACATTTTATCCAGCAACCATAAGGACTAGGAGAATAAAACAGGTGCCCAGGGGCATCTCAAAGACTCACAAAATTTATTCCGGCATATGCTTTCATGAGTCAGATGCTAGGAGGATGTGCCTGCCCTGAAATAAAAACCGAGCTTGAGATGTATACATCAGATACCAGATGCTGCATCAAGCGTGACACAGGCATACATTGGCAGAACATGGACGGCCTTTATATACACGCTATTAATAAACCGCCATCAAACAAAATGAGTTTCCCGCAAGTTTCATCAACACTGCTATGAGCCAGAAGGTAGAAGATAATCAGAAGCTTTGCCAAGTCACTGAAGGAATTGCTGGGGCTCACTGGGGAGCAAACTGAATATTCTGTTTAAAAGGGCCAGGCGGGTCAAAAGAAGGTGCTCTTGTAGAAAGCAGGTGGGTTCTGTTCCATCGGGCAGGAATTTTATTCTTGCCTCTAACTCACTATGTGGCATTAGGTAAGCCAGAGTCAGACACACAACTTATTTGATAACAAGGGGGCAGTATCACAGAATTAACGTTACGTTGAACGGGGAACAACACAGTGTACGCGAAGTGCTTTTAATCATTCTGAGAGCTGCATGAACTAATTATAAAATAACTACATAAAATTGGTTATTAACCCCCACACAAGAAAAAGCTCATCCAGCATTTTGTTTTAAATATTAAGGCAAAGACACTGAATACGTGGCTTACAAAGTAATTCAGACATCTTCAGAGCTGGTTACCATGTTTTAGTTTAGCTAGCATTGCTGGTGAGGGAACACTTCCAAACATCACTACCCATCTGTGCAGGAAACAAGAGTCTCACCATAAGGAATAGGGTTTCCAAGAGATATTTATTGAGATAACGCTCTGTGGAGGTGACAACGGAGCAATTGAGATTCTTCAGACCACTAACCTTGCTCCCAGATAACATTATTCTCACACCCATGCTTTTTAAAGATGGAAAATACAATTTTTTAAAAAATCCGATATTTTAACACCTCTTAAGCCAATACTGTCAGTTTGGAACTAGGCCCATTTTGAAATTTCTGCACTGCTCTACCATCAGCTATCCTCTGAGCTCTGCCTACAATAAGGTTTGTATAAGCCAGCAAGTAGCAAAAGATGTTTATCCCAGGAAGATTAAGTCTGGGCAGCTGTAGCTGCAGGGAAAGGATTTCAGCACAATCCCAGTGTGCAGGTGTTTCTGTCTGCACTAGTTCCCCATCGACCCACGATGCTGGCACTAAACAGTACTGGGCTATCAACGTGTATGAGGGAAAAAGAGGGTGGTCTGAACAGCTTTTCATGGTCAGCAGGGAATATGCCAGGAGAAAGAACATGTTAGCCCAAGAAGCAGGCCTGTGGCTACAGTGGGGCATCTCGGGGCTAGGCCCCTTGACTTACTGGCAAGGCCCCACAACTTCCCATCGAGCCCAGGGCCCCTGAGTGGTGGCAGATGTGGGGAAGGAGCTGTGCCCCGAGGGGCCACGGTGAGGTGGGGTTGGCGTCTTGGGTAGAGGCCTGGGGGGCAGAAGCTGCAGAGTAGCTCAGGGCTGCGCCAGGTACTGCTGGCATGGCTGCCCCATGGGTCACTGTTCCTTCTCCACCCTGCTCCCTTCCCCCAGTTCTGCTGGGTTGCTGCTTGGCATGGTGTTAGGGCCAGGCTCAGAGGGCGGGTGGCGTTAGCCAGTGCCCCCTAAGAAATTTAAATGCCCCCCCTTTTTTCCAGTGTTGATGAAAAGAAAAAAAAGATTATGTGGGCCCAGAATAATTTTGAAGAGTGGGAGCAGATTTGGTGGGAAAATATAAAATTAACTAATGTTGTGTCATATAAAGAGAACATGTATAAGATGTTTTATAGATGGTATATTACACCAGAAGGAGCTGCGGTGGCTCAAGTGGTTAAGACGCTGAACTGCAGGCTGTGGATGGTCAGTAGTTCAGCAGTTCAAGACCCGGGTGCCGCAAGACGGGGTGAGCTCCTGTCTCTGGCCCCAGCTCCTGCCAACCTAGCAGTTCGAAAGCAAGAAATTGCAAGTAGATAAATAGGTACCACTTCGGTGGGAAGGTAACAGCGTTCCGTGCGCCTTGGTGTTTAGTCATGCCGGCCACATGACCACGGAAATGTCTTCGGACAGCGCTGGCTCTTCGGCTTTGAAACGGAGATGAGCACCGCAACCCTAGAGTCGGATTCGACTGGCTTTCGAGCAAGGGAACCTTTACCTTTACATATATTACACCAGATAGATTAGCTAAACAAAATTTTAATTGCTCTGATAAATGTTGGAAATGTAAAAATAAGATTGGTTCTTTTTACCACATGTGGTGGTTATGTGATGTTATAAAGAGGTACTGGAGATGGATTCATGAGATAATGGAAAAAATAATAAGAAC